TATGCCCACTAATAAGTCTCCAGGCATTGACGGGCTGACCGTGGAGTTCTACCGCGTGTTTTAGGATGTCCTCGGCCCAGACTTAGTCACCGTCTGGGCCGAGTCTCTGCAGAGCAGGGTCCTCCCTCTTTCGTGCAGGCGAGCTGTGCTCGCCTTATTGCCGAAGAAGGGGGACCTCCACGATTTATGAAATTGGCGTCCCATCTCGCTCCTCAGCACGGACTACAAAATCGTAGCAAAAGCAATCTCGCTGTGGCTAGGGTCTGTGCTGGTGGACGTGATCCACCCAGACCAGACTTACACCATCCTGGACCGCAGTATCTTTGATAACCTATTTCTGGTTTGGGACCTTTTGGAACTCGGGCGTAGAGACGGTCTGTTGTTCGCCCTCCTGTCCCTAGATCAGGAGAAGGCGTTCGATAGGGTGGACCACGGGTACCTCCTGAGTACTCTGCAGGAGTTTGGCTTCGGACCCCAGTTTGTGGGTTTTCTCCGGGTGCTGTACGCTTCCGCAGAGTGTCTGGTTAAGCTCAACTGGACTCTGACCGAACCGGTCAGCTTTGGGCGAGGAGTACGGTAGGGGTGCCCCCCTTTGGGCCAGCTGTACGCTCTGGCGATCGAGTCCTTCCTCTGTCTCCTCCGCAGGAGGTTGACAGGGTTGGTGCTGCAGGAGCCGGAGCTGCAGCTGGTGCTGTCGGCGTACGCTCCTTGTGATCCAGGACCCGGGTGACTTGGCACAGGTGGAGGCTTGCCAGGCCATCTATTCGGCAGCCTCCTCCACCCGAGTCAACTGGGTCAAGAGCTCTGGCTTGGCGGTAGGAGACTGGCGGCAGGCGAGCTCCCTCCCACCCGCGCTTCAGACCATCCGGTGGAGCGCGGGTCCGCTGCTCTGCCTCGGCATTTACCTTTCTGCCACACATCCCTCTCCGCCGGAGAACTGGGAAAATTTAGAGGGCGGGGTGATAGAGCAGCTCCAGAAATGGGTGGGACTACTCCGATGTCTCTCCCTCCAAGGGAGAGCATTGGTGCTTAATCAACTAGTCCTGTCCATGCTCTGGTACCGGCTCAACACCCTGGTCCCAGCCCTAGGTTTCCTGACCAACCTCCGGACATCGATTCTGGGGTTCTTTTGGTCAGGAACGCACTGGGCCCCTTCAGGGGTTCTTCATCTACCCCTGAAGGAAGGAGGACAGGGCCTGAAATGTCTGCACACTCAGGTCCGCGTCTTCCGCCTCCAGGCCCTACAGAAGCTCCTCTATGGTGCAGGCAGTTCGGCATGGAGTATACTGGCGCACGCCTTCCTGCGCCGCGTCCGAGGGCTCCGATATGACCGGCAGCTCTTTTATGTCCATCCGGGAGGTCTTCCGCAAGACCTTTCCGGGCTGCTTGTCTTCTACCAGGACCTCCTCCGGACTTGGAAACTGTTTTTAATGACCAGGTCCGTGGCGGCCACCGAGGGGGCAGATCTCCTCGCGGAGCCTCTGCTACACAACCCCCCAGCTCCGTGTGCAGGTGGCGGAGTCCCACTCGGTGCACCAGAGCTTGATCCTGGCAGAAGTCACGAGAATCGGAGACCTCCTGGACTACGACCAGGGAGACTGGCTGGATCCCCTGATGCTCGCTCGGCGCATGGGGCTCTCCAGACCTCGTACCCCCCGGCGCGTACTTCAGGAGGTGAAGGCTGCTTTGCCGCCCGCTGCTCGAGCTTGCCTCAACAGGGTCCTGCTTGAGGGCACGCCCCGCCCACCCTCTACCCCAGGCCCGCCGGACCTCTTAATTGGACCCCTGCCCCATAGACCCAATCAACCCCCTCACCCCTTTACTGTGGGCCGGCCGCATGAACTGCAGCCGGTATGCTTCCAAACCGCGCCAAGGAAACATCTATACACGCTCGTGGTCCACTCCCCCCACACCCTCACCCTAGTGTCCCGCTCCGACACAAAGTGGCGAGACCTTTTGCCACCTTTGGAGGGTGAGCAGCCCCAGTGGGCCAGCCTATATTCCACCTTGGTTCCGAGGCCCATCGGGGACATCAGTTGGCAGCTCCTTCACGGAGCTGTAAGCATGGGCACGTACTTGGCGCGGTTCACCCCCATCCCAGCTACTTGTCCTTTTTGTGGTGTGAGGGAAACCCTGCAGCATGTATATTTGGAGTGCGCCAGGCTGCAGCCCCTGTTTTGGCTCCTCACAAATCTTCTATTACGTTTTTGGTTGCATTTTTCCCCTCACCTTTTTATTTATGCACTCCCCATCCGTGGCCTCACAAAATCGCGAGATCTCCTAGTTAACCTCCTCCTGGCCCTGGCTAAAACGGCCATCTGTAAAACCAGCGAGAAGAGGTTGGCTGATGAGTTTCCTTTGACTGTGGGGCCGTTTTCTGATCCTTGGTCCGTTCACATATCCGGGCGGAGGTCCTCTGGGCGGTGTCCACCGACTCCTTTGATGCTTTTGAGGAGCGGTGGGCGCTGTCCGAGGTTCTCTGCTCGGTGTCCCCATCCGGTTCCCTTTGTTTGACCCTTTGATTGGGGCAGAGAGTAAGGGACCCCAGCCCCAGCCTTTGCTGCTACAGACACCACCATCTTAGAGGGGTCCTTTCACACGCGGATGCACGTGCCCCCCCCCCCCGGTTGTCCACCCCACAGACTGCCCCTCTTGTTGGGTGCTTTCAGAGGAGTGAATTGTTGGTGACACTGAGCATGGCGCCAGGTAACTTGAGAGGATGGCAGACCTTGAGAGTCGATGAAGCCCCCTCGCTCTGGGCCACCAGGTAACTTGGAAGGATGGAAGACTATGAGAGTCGAGGAAGCCCCCCGCTCTGGGCCTGGGCAAGCTTGAACACTTCCCTCCCCTGAAGCTAATGAGAAAATAATTTTGATTCACTGCTGTGTTATACATTGCATATGCTGTTGTTTTTACTTTGTAAGTGTGTTATGCAAATAAAAACATCCTTTTTGCTTCAAAAAAAAATTCCTCTCCTATAGCCATCTGGCCTGACCCTGTCACACAACTTATTCAAAGATTACAAAATATAAACCTATAGGCAGTTTTCTCTTAATTCCCATTTCCACCCAGTGAGCTTTGTGTGAAGTCACATTCTACAATAACCTAGGAGCCTTCCATTTCTGTGAGTTCATTTCTCTCTGGGTCATCACACTACGTGGGCAGATTGCATGATGAGAAATATCACCTGTGCTCTATTTTCACACTTTCTAATCTTTCAAAGGAGCAGGAGGCAGAGAAGTGATACTCATGCATTAAACTCAAGAGCAAAACTAAGGGTATGTCTACACTATGAAATTAGGTTGATTTTATAGAAGTTGATTTTTAGAAACCGATTTTATACAGTGAATTGTGTATGTCCCCACTAAGTGCATTAAGTTGGAGGAGTGCATCCTCACTATCATGGCTAGCATCGAAGCACGGAGCGGTGCACTGTGGGAAACTATCCGACAGTTCCCTCAGTCTCCGCTGCCCATTGGAATTCTAGGTTAAGCTCCCAATGCCTGATGGGGCAAAAATATTGTCGCGGGTGGTTTTGGGTACATGTCGCCAGTCTTCATTCTCTCTGTGAAAGCAACTGCAGACAATCACATTGTGCCTTTTTTCCCGGGTTGCCCATGCAGACTTCATAGCACGGCAAGCATGGAGCCTGCTCAGCTCACCACTGCTGTTGCGACCATTGTAAATACCTCGTGCATTATACTGCAGTATGTGCAGAACCTGGCTGAGACAGAAGCATGAGGATGATTGTGAGGAGGACATGGATACAGACATTCCTGAAAGCATGGGGTGTGGCAATTGGGACATCATGGCAGCAGTGGGGCTGGTTGATACAGTGGAACGCTGATTCTGGGCCCAGCAAACAAGCACAGACTGGTGGGACCTCATAGTCTTGCAGGTATGGAATGATCCCCAGTGGCTGCAAAATTTTTGCATGTGTAAGGCCACTTCCCTGGAACTCTGTGAGTTGCTTTCCCCCACCCTGAAGTGCAGGAATATCAAGATGAGAGCTGTCCTGGCAGTTGAGAAGAGAGTGGCTATAGCCCTGTAGAAGGTTGCAACGCCTGACAGTCAGGAATCAATTTGGAGTGGGCAAATCTACTGTGGGGACTTCTGTGATTCAAGTAGCCAATGCAATCACTGACATTCTGCTATCAAGTATAGTGACTCTGGGAAATGTGCAGGTCATAATGGATAGCTTTGCTGCAATGGGTTTCCCTAACTGTGGTGGGGCAACAGACGGAACGCATATTCCTATCTTGGCACCAGACCACCTTGCCAACCACTACATAAACCGCAAGGGGTACTTCTCAATGGTGATGCAAGCACTGGTGGATCACAAGGGACATTTCACCAAGATCAACGTGGGATGGCCGGGAAAGGTGCATGACGCTCGCATCTTTAGGAACTCTGGGCTGTTTGAGCAGCTGCAAGAAGGGACTTAGTTCCCAGACCAGAAAATTACTGTTAGGGATGTTGAAATGCTAAGTTATTCTTGGAGACCCAGCCTACCCCTTGCTCCCATGGCTCATGAAGCCATACACAGGCAGCCTGGACAGTAGTAAGGAGCAGTTCAACTATAGGCTGAGCATGTGCAGAATGATGGTAGAATGTGCCTTTGGACATTTAAAAGCTCACTGGCGCTGTTTGCTGACTAGGTTAGACCTCAGCGCAACCAATATTCCCATTGTTATTACTGCTTGCTGTGTGCCTCATAATATCTCTGAGAATAAGGGGGAGATGTTTATGGCGGGATGGGAGCTTGAGGCAAATCACCTGGCTGCCAATTTTGAACAGCCAGACACTAGGGCAATTAGAAGAGCACAGGTAGGCACGCTGCGCATCAGAGAGGATTTGAAAACCAGTTTCATGACTGGCCAGGCTACTGTGTGATAGTTGTTTCTCCTTGATGCAAACCCGCCCTCTTTGTTGATTTTAATCCCCTGTAAGCCAACCACCCTCCCCATTTCAATCATAGCTGGCAACGGAAATAGTCACTCTTGTTTTGAAACCATGCACTCTTCCTTTATTAATTAAAAAAAAGGGAGATAACTGATAAGGTAGCCCGGGTGGGGTAGGGGAGGAGGGAAGGACAAGGGCACATTGCTTATTGTAGCCACACTACAAATCAAAACTGTTTGAATGACAGCCTTCTGTTGCTTGGGCAATCCTGTGGAGTGGAGTGGCTGAGTGCCTGGAGCCTCCCCCCACCCACATTCTTGGGTGTCTGGGTGAGGAGGATATGGAACTTGGGGAGGAGGGAAGGCGGTTGTACAGTGTATGCAGCGGCAGTCTGTGCTCTTGTTGGCGTTCCTGAAGCTCCACCAGACACCTGAGCATCTCTGTTTGCTCCCCCATTAGCCTCAGCATTGCATCCTGCCTCTTCTCATTGCGCTCACATAATACTTTCCTTGACTCTGCCACTGAATGCCTCCATGCATTCAGCTGTGCCCTATTAGTGCAGGAGGACTGCATGAGCTTGGAAAACATGTCAACATGAATGTGGTTTTATTTTTGCCTTCTAATCTGCGATAACCTCAGGGACGGATATGATGGGGGAGCATAGAAACATTTGCACCTGCAGGGGGATAAAAAGGGAGAGTAAAATTTAAGATGATACATTTCTGAGAACAAAAGAGAGACTCTTTCACAGTGAATCAAGCAATTCACAGCAGACAGCACATGTGCTTTAGGTACAAGGTCACTTTTTGCCTTTTATATTGAATACCTGCCGGTATGGTGACACATCACACATGGCTGGGCAACAGAATTCGGTTTCCAGGCAGCCATGGTAAGCCAAAGGGTATGCGGGTTTGGCTTCTAACACTTTCATAACATGTGGGAATATTTTCAAACTGCAGCGTCCTCCTTTCCCATAGCATGCAATGCCGGTTTGATTTGCCATTTAAAAGGAGGGGCTGCGGTTTTCAGGTGGATGTGCAGCACAGACCTCCCCCCACCCCTCCACATGGCTATTTGAGATGATCCCTTCACCCTTCCCCCCACTGCGTGGCTATTCTCTGGGATGATCCCTTTTAGCCAAGTGCAAACAGCCCAGCATGAATGGGGTCCTTTTATTGTTCCCTTACAAAAATTCCCCTATTTCAACCAGGTGACCATGAATGATATCACTCTCCTGAGGCTAACACAGAAAGATAAAGACCAAATGTTGCTTGAATGTGACCAAAACCCAGGACCATTCACTGCCATGCTTTGTGCTGCAATGATTCCAGACTACTTGCTACTGGCTTGGTGTGTTAAAGTGTCCTACCATGGAGGACGAAATAAGGCAGAAACCTTCTGCAAAGGCTTTCAGAGTACCTCCAGGAGAGCTTCATGGAGACGTCCCTGGAGCATTCCTACTCCATCCCCAGACATGTTAACAGACTTTTCCAGTAGTTGTACTGGCCATGAATGCATCCCAAGTCTTCAGGGCAAATCAGACATTAAACACTATTGCTTTTAAACCCTGTACTGTAGTTACAAATGTGCACTCACCAGAGGTGCCTTCTCCAGCTTCAGGGTCGGGGATCCCACCTTGGGAGGGTATTGGCTCTAGGGTGATGAAAAGGTCCTGGCTGCTGGGGAGAACGGATTCACCACGTGCCTGCTGCTTATTCTCTTCCTCCCCCTCATCCACAAAATCCTCCTCCCTGTTGTGTGAGACTCCCCCCTTGCAGCTGTCCATGGACAGTGGTGGGGTAGTGGTAGGGTCCCCCCCTAGAATGCCATGCAGCTGATCATAGAAGCAGCATGTATGGGGCTCTGACCCAGAGTGACTGTTTGCCTCCTTTGTTTTTTGGTAGGCTTGCCTGAGCTCTTTGACTTTCACGGGGCACTGCTGTGTGTCCGTTTTAGCCTCTGTCCATCATGCCCTGTGCGATTTTGGCATGTATATCTGCATTTCTTCTTTTTGATCGGAGTTCTGCCTCCACAGATTCTTCTTCCCATACAGCAATCGATCCAGTGTCTCCCGTTCACTCCATGCTGGCGCTCATTTATGATTCTGGGGGGACTGCATGGTCACCTGTGCTGCTGAGCTTGCGACGCTGAACAAACAGGAAATGAAATTCAAAAGTTTCCGGGGCTTTTCCTGTGTACCTGGCTAGTGCATCGGAGTTGAAAGTGCTGTCCAGAGCGGTCATATTGGAGCATTCTGGGATAGCTCCCGGAGGCCAATAACATCAATTTGTGTCTGAACTACTCCAAATTCAACCCAGGAAGGTTGATTTTAGCGCTACTCCCCTCACTGGGGAGGAGTACAGAAGTCGATTTTAAGAGCCCTTTAGGTCGATGGAACGGGTTTGCTTATGTACACGCATTCATTATAAAATCGATCTAAACCGGCTAAATTTGACCTAACCCTGTAGTGTAGACCAGGGCTAAGTGACCAAAACACAGACTCTGGACTCAGCATTCATGTATCCTACAGTCTGAACTTGGAATCTGATACATTCCCTCATTGGCTACCATCATTTGCCCAGCATGGAATTGCTTCTTGTCCAACAAGGCAGCCAGATTGGGACTCATAGGCATGGAATGGCTCTGAAGGAATCAGCTGTTTCTCTCTGTGCTTCATGAAACTTTGGAGCCAAATGGTAAAAGATAGTTGTTCACAATTTAATGATGGCATCCTTTAGAAGTGTGATTAATGCCACTTAACTAGGGAGCAGCGTTCTAAAAATAGTTTACCTAGGCCACAGGTCACCAGAGCATCCATCTCTGTGGTGAAAATCAACCACTCATACCTGCCATTTCTACCTGAGTTCTTCTCAAATCGTTGACCTTCCTTCAAGCAATTTTACACTTCTCTGGCATAGAATTCTTCACCAACCACACAACGTATCAGTAGCGATAGTGAGGTATAACTCCCCCAAATATGCACTTTTATTTCTTTAATCTGGTGGTGCAGATTTAAATTAGGGACTAAATTCAGGTGTGTCTTAAAATCCCTGTAAGACACCAAAAGTCAGGAATCTATTAGAAATAGGTATCTTTCTGCAGCTCTATCATATTCAACATGGATTTCATTTTCTACACATTTGCAGCATCTCCCAGGGGTGAGCTGAACAGCAATGTCACTTCCATTTTCCCCATCTCTACCTAGCTAGGGACTGCATTTCACAAATAATAGGCAACATGCACCTGATTAGGAAAGAGATATCTTCAGGAGCAACCTGCTGCAGGGCCTGGGCCACAACTGCTTTGGGAGCGAATGTATGTGTACTTTGCTTATTTACAAGTCATTTACTAGTGAATCCTATTCCCAGACCTTTAGAAAAAAATATTGACTTAACCAACTGAACAACAAGGGGATTGGGATGGTGTCGTGGAATAAGGGAATCCTTCTGACTTACCCTATCAAAAAAGTGAACAGAATCTTAGGAATCATTTAAAAAGGGATAGAGAATAAGATGGAAAATATCTTATTGCCCTTATACAAATCCATGGTAGGCCCACATCTTGAATACTGTGTACAGATGTGGTCTCCTCATCTCAAAAAAGATATACTCGCATTAGAAAAGGTTCAGAGAAGGGCAAATAAAATGATTAGGGGGTTGGAACAGGTCTCATATGAGGAGAGATTAAAGAGAGTAGGACTTTTCAGCTTGGAAAAGAGGAGACGAAAGGGGGGATATGACAGAGGTCTATAAAATCATGAGTGGTGTGGAGAGAGTGAATAAGGAAAAGTTATTTACTTTTTCCCATAATAAAAGAACGAGGAGCCACCGAATGAAATTAATGGGCAGCAGGTTTAAAACAAACAAAAGGAAGTTCTTCACACAGCGCACAGTCAACCTGTGGAACTCCTTGCCTGAGGAGGTTGTGAAGTCTAGGATGATAATAGGGTTGAAAAGAGAACTGGATAAATTCATGGAGGTTAAGTCCATTAATGGTGTCCCTAGCCTCTGTTTGTCAAAGGGTGGAAATGGATGGCAGGAGAGAGATCACCTGATCATTACCTGTTCGGTTCACTCCCTCTGGGGCACCTGGCATGGGTCACTGTTGGCACACAGGATACTGGGCTGGATGGATCTTTGGTCTCACCCAGTATGACTGGTCTCATGTTCTTATCTTCTTCTGTTGTTACAGAGGGTGAAATGACATTTTTCCCTATCCCTGCCCTGTTCCTGATCTTTGTTATAGTTCAATATATTCTAAGTGAGGAAAATGGTAGTAAAAAAATCTGCTCTCCAGCACAACCTGAAGCAACATCTGAGCAACTGCAAATGAAACAATTTGTTTCTGAAGGGGAAACTTGATGACTAACAATTGCTTTGAAATGGGGGAACAGTATAACCATGATACTCAGCGTTTGTTTAGACTAGGAAAAGTGATGGAGTTTAGGTCAAGGGGAAAGCTAATGCAACCACTGCACATGGGCTGCATCAGCTCTACAACTGTAATTGTCTTTTTACACCAAGATCACTCACTTGAGCAGCCAATGCCTTGTACAGTCCTAGTGGATGTAAGGCCCAGGTAGTTTTTGCCTCAGTGTAGCTTGTTGGGATCAAACCTCTCTCTCCCACCTGGTGCTCAAGAACATTCCTGGCAGGAGGGACACACACTCCTATGACTCAAAAGGAAATAATTTGATAGAAAAGATCACAGGACTGACCACAACGAAGGGTTGGCTGCAAAAGGCAGAAGCAGGCAACTCATCTGGGGGAGCTGAGAGACCACAGTGAAGATGGTGCAAAGATCACTATGTGGGAATTAGCAAATGTCATTTAAATATATATATATATTTAGCCAGCCCTAATCAAGGCATTTATTACAGTTCTCTCCCATGTGGATTTTCTGATGTTTAATAAGGCTGGAGCTCCAACTGAAACGTTTCCCACACTCAGAGCATCCATAAGGTTTCTCACCTGTGTGGATCGTCCTATGTCTGATAAGGTTTGAGCTCCGATTAAAGCATTTCCCACAGTCAGAGCATGTGTAGGGCCTCTCTCCAGTGTGGATTCGCTGATGGGTGGTAAGGGCTGAGCTATAATTGAAGTGTTTCCCACACTCAGAGCATGTGTAGGGCGTCTCTCCACTGTGGATTCTCTGATGGGTGGTAAGAGCTGAGCTATAATTGAAGTGTTTCCCACACTCAGAGCACGTGTAGGGTTTCTCTCCTGTGTGGATTCTACGATGCACGCTAAGGTGCGAGTGCCAACTAAAGGTTTTCCCGCACTCAGAGCATGTGTAGGGTGTCTCTCCTGTGTGGATTCTCTGATGTGTGATAAGGTGTGATCTCTGATTGAAGCTTTTCCCGCACTCAGAGCATGTGTAGGGCCTCTCTCCGCTGTGGATTCTCTGATGTGTGATAAGCCGAGAGCTCTGACTGAAGCTTTTCCCGCACTCAGAGCACGTGTAGGGCGTCTCTCCGCTGTGGATTCTCTGATGTATGATAAGCCTTGAGCTATAACTGAAGCTTTTCCCGCACTCAGAGCACGTGTAGGGCATCTCTCTAGTGTGGATTCTCTGATGCGTGATAAGTCTTGAGCTCTGATGGAAGCTTTTCCCGCACTCAGAGCATGTGTAGGGCGTCTCTCCGCTGTGGATTCTCTGATGTATGATAAGCCTTGAGCTCTGATTGAAGCTTTTCCCGCACTCAGAGCACGTGTAGGGCATCTCTCCAGTGTGGATTCTCTGATGTGTGATAAGGTTTGAGCTCTGATTGAAGCTTTTCCCGCACTCAGCGCACGTGTAGGGTTTCTCTCGTGTGTGGATTCTACGATGTATGCTAAGGTGTGAGTGCCAACTAAAGCTTTTCCCGCACTCAGAGCATGTGTAGGACGTCTGTCCAGTGTGGATTCTCTGATGTGAGGTAAGGGCAAAGCTCTGATTGAAGATTTTCCCGCACTCATGGCATACGTAGCATGTCTCTTCCAAGTTGATTCTCTCACGTGTAACAAGATCTGAGTGGCTACTGAAGTTTTCCTCTGGCCTTTGCTGACTCTCACAGGCTTTTTCTTCTTCTGGGAGTGCACAACTCCCGGAATCATTCCCTTTGGATCTTCCTGATAACGTCCCATGGGATTCTACTTCCTCAGAATCTTCCTGCTGGGGTTTCTCCTCGTTCTCACTCGCCAGCCCAACTCCTGATGGGAGACAGAGAGAATCCACAAATAGATCACTTCCTGCGCCAGAGAGAAAGGAAATCTCAGAGAGAAGAATGGAAAAAGGGATGAACAAACCAAAATATGTGTGGGAGAGATCAAACCTATCAGGAGCTGATTTTCCCCAAACCCTTCCCCAGAGGAGAGAGAGGAAGGGATCAGTTCTGGGTCCACATCTCACCAGAACTCTCATGGGAAAGCAAGACTGGGGAGGCACCTGCTGCCAGTTGTCAGTCAGGGTAGCTGGGAAGCCATGAGTGACATCCGCCTAATGATCCTACATCTGCAGGGAACAATCCTCAACTTGGAGAGTTCACAAGGTTTTTGTAGGATATCCCAAATGTTTCCTGTATTCATGGACAGTTTTTGAGTTTGTTTAACCAATTTCTTACTTGTGCAGGCAACTCTTGGGAGCACTTCTTTCTCAGAGCCATGGGGGTCTGGGAACCACGGGTCTTCCTCTCGTTCCAGCTGCAAGATCACATCAGGTTTGGAAACTGGAAACCCTGCTCAAGGCAAAGAAAACAAGGGAGGTCAGTGGAATTTGTGGGATACTTGTCACACGGAATATTCCATGGCTTTAAGCCCAGTTCATTTTTAATTAGTAACATCCCAAGGCCAGCTTCCTTGGCTCAAAGTGTCAGGAGAGTTATTATTATTATAAATCATATTCATTACCTTAGTGCCTAAGGACCAACTAACAGCCTGTTGTGGAAGGCACCATACAAACCCAGAATATTAGATGGCCCATGCCCTGAAGAATTTACAGTCTCAATAGACAAGGCAGACACAGAATGGGGGAAGGGGTAGAACCCACCAGCCGAGTGAACTATGTGAAGGCAGAGTGCCAGATCTGATGAACACAGCTTATATCTTGAGACTATCGTATTTAATGTTATGACTAGGGCCAGTGTTTTCTAGAAATTACTGCTATTACTGCACTTTTTTTCCTGACATTACTCTTTGTCATAAATATAAATGGAAGGGTAAACACCTTTAAAATCCCTCCTGGCCAGAGGAAAAAATCCTTTCACCTGTAAAGGGTTAAGAAGCTAGGATAACCTCGCTGGCACCTGACCAAAATGACCAATGAGGAGACAAGATACTTTCAAAAGCTGGGGGGAGGGAGAAACAAAGCCTCTGTGTCTGTCTGCGTGATGCTTTTTGCCGGGGACAGAACAGGAATGGAGTCTTAGAATTTAGCAAGTAATCTAGCTAGATATGCTTTAGATTATGATTTCTTTAAATGGCTGAGGAAATAAGCTGTGCTGAAAGGAATGGATATTCCGGTCTTTGTGTCTTTTTGTAACTAAGGTTTTGCCGAGAGGGATTCTCTATGTTTTGAATCTGATTACCCTGTAAGGTATTTACCATCCTGATTTTACAGAGGTGATTCTTTTTACTCCTATTAAAATTCTTCTTTTCAGAAACTGAATGCTTTTTCATTGTCCTTAAGATCCAAGGGTTTGGGTCTGTGGTCACCTATGCAAATTGGTGATGATTTTTATCATACCTTCCCCAGGAAGGGGGGTGCAAGGTTTTGGTGAGGATTTTGGGGGGAAAGACGTTTCCAAACGGCTCTTTCCCAATAATAAACCCGGTTAGACATTTGGTGGTGGCAGCGAAAGTCCAAGGGCAAAGGGTAAAATAGTTTGTACCTTGGGAAAGTTTTAACCTAAGCTGGTAAAAGTAACCTTAGGAGGTTTTCATGCAGGTCCCCACATCTGTACCCTAGAGTTCAGAGTGGGGAAGGAACCTTGACACTCTTCATTTCTGGAATCACCGTTCATATCCGGAATTGCTGAACAGAGGGTGGGTGTGGCATGCAAGATCACAACCCCCCAGATTTCTGCCCAGAGACACCTGACTCATCCCCACAGTGCAGGGCAGAGGTGATGTGTGGGCAAGGGACACCGTGTGCTGCCCCCCTCCCGATTTCTGCCTGGAGACACCTGACTCCCCCCCGGGGCAGAGGCTGGCTGCTATTGAGACTTGCTGCCAATTTCTTCCCTCCTCATACAAATCTGGGCTCAGCTAAACCACTGGAGCTTCCTCTGAGCAAGGAGGGCACTTGGCAGTGGGATGCCGGGCTCCCTCATCATGCTGCAGAGCAGATGGCACTCGCACCTCCTCTCGGTTGTGTCCACAGCACCTCTCCCCTGCTCATCTCCCTGCACACAGGTGGTTCGTGCCCTGTCTCCCCAGCACACAGCTGGCTCTAGGCTCTCAATGCTCAGTGTCTGGGCCCCCCCTCCCCCACACAGCTGGCTCCTGCCGTCTCCCCCCAATGAATTTTCATGCTGTAAAGGATTATATATTGCTCATGTTTGTCAATTACTATGTTTTCATTGCCAGCAAACAGTAGCCCTAGTTATGACTTATCTCTATATTTGAGACAGCCCTTGAAAGCATGAATACTTCACAGACTATGATGCTGAGATGGGCCAAATGATACTGGGGAGGGCTGAGGGATGGGTTCCCTGTGCAAGATGGTGTCACTATGGGGTGATGAAATCTCAAGGTTAGTTATGCAGTTCTCCAGCTTTTGAAGCTTTGCCCTACGCGGAAAGGGGCAGGTAGTGATTTAACTTCTTTCACGAGACTGAAGACAGACTTTTTGGGGAGAAACAGCTGAGTTTGAGCTGACTGAGGGCGGGTCTTTTGTAAAACTTTTGTAAAATTCAGGTTTTACTATATAGTCTGTAGTCAATCAGGAAGTAAGGGGGGGAATGGGAGCAGGGAATGGGGGTGGGGAAACTGGAATCATGTTTGGCTAAGGGCAGGAATGGGAACAGGGACACAAATAAGGCTCTGTGGTGTCAGAGCTGGGAAGGGGGACACTAAGGAAGGAAACTGGAATCATGCTCGCTGGAAGTTCTCCCCAATAAACATCTAATTGTTTGCACCTTTGGACTTCGGGTATTGCTGCTCTCTGTTCATGCGAGAAGGACCAGGGAAGGAAGTGAGTGAAGGAATAAGACCCCTAACAATCTCATAGAATCATAGAATATCAGGGTTGGAAGGGACCTCAGGAGGTCATCTAGTCCAACCCCCTGCTCAAAGCAGGACCAAACCCCAATTAAATCATCCCAGCCAGGGCTTTGTCAAGCCTGACCTTAAAAACTTCTAAGGAAGGAGATTCTACCACCTTCCTAGGTAACGCATTCCAGTGTTTCACCACCCTCCTAGTGAAAAAGTTTTTCCTAATATCCAACCTAAACCTCCCCCACTGCAACTTGAGACCATTACTCCTTGTCCTGTCCTCTTCTACCACTGAGAATAGTCTAGAACCATCCTCTTTGGAACCACCTCTTAGGTAGTTGAAAGCAGCTATCAAATCCCCCCTCATTCTTCTCTTCTGCAGACTAAACAATCCCAGTTCCCTCAGCCTCTCCTCATAAGTCATGTGTTCCAGACATCTAATCATTTTTCAGAGTAACAGCCGTGTTAGTCTGTATTCGCAAAAAGAAAAGGAGTACTTGTGGCACCTTAGAGACTAACCAATTTATTTGAGCATGAGCTTTCGTGAAGTGAGCTGTAGCTCACGAAAGCTCATGCTCAAATAAATTGGTGAGTCTCTAAGGTGCCACAAGTACTCCTTTTCTTTTTGCTAATCATTTTTGTTGCCCTTCACTGGACTCTCTCCAATTTATCCACATCCTTCTTGTAGTGTGGGGCCCAAAACTGGACACACTACTCCAGATGAGGCCTCACCAATGTCGAATAGAGGGGGACGATCACGTCCCTTGATCTGCTCGCTATGCCCCTACTTATACATCCCAAAATGCCATTGGCAACAAGGGCACACTGCTGACTCATATCCAGCTTCTCGTCCACTGTCACCCCTAGGTCCTTTTCCGCAGAACTGCTGCCTAGCCATTCGGTCCCTAGTCTGTAGCTGTGCATTGGGTTCTTCCGTCCTAAGTGCAGGACCCTGCACTTATCCTTATTGAACCTCATCAGATTTCTTTTGACCCAATCCTCCAATTTGTCTAGGTCCCTCTGTATCCTATCCCTGCCCTCCCAGTTTAGTATCATCTGCAAATGATCTCCTGTGATTACGAACTGGAAAAGGAGTTTCAGAAATCTATCATTGATCAACCTTTGGCTGAGTTTAAGAAAAGAGTACCCCCTTCTGGCAGAAAAACTTGCTGCACTTTTGTTACCATTTTCAACAACATACTTTTATGAGAAAGCGTTTTCCTCGTACGCACATCTGAAAACCAAATACAGAAACAGACTTGATGCCGAACCAGACCTGAGACTTTATCTTTCTCCAGTGGTTCTGGACTTCCAGGAGCGATGCAGAGCAAAGCAAGCGCATCCATCATACTGAGGAAATTTAAACTTAAATCCCTGGAAATATTCATTTTTAGGAGGGGGTTCACAAGATTTCACAATTTAGTGAAAGGGGTTCACGGGCTGTTAAAGTTTAGGAACCACTGGTCTAGATAATACTTAGTCCTGCCTTGAGTGCAGGGGACTGGACTAGATGACCTCTCAAGGTCCCTTCCAGTTCTGTGATTCTATGAACCAAAGGCCAGAGAAGAGCAGAATCAAAGAAGTCACTTTGGGGCGATTCTCCCTGTCGTGCCCAAGACAGCTGTCTCAGGTTTATAAAGTTGTTTAATGCTCCAGCCTTTAGAGAGTCTCTCCTGGGAGTGCCCCCTTTCATGGGCTGGGCCTAGTTTTAGCTTTTGGCAAGCATGACCCTGGGGGCTCTGAGACTGGGCCTTCTTGCCTCAGCACACCTTGTTTCTTTCTGTGGCTCCCCAGTGAGTCCAAATGAGTAGATACTCCTGATAGATACTGTGAACATAAGAACGGCCCACTGCGTCAGTCCAAAGGTCCACCTAGCTCAGTGGCCAATGCCAGGTGCTTCAGAGGGAATGAACAGAACAGGTCATCATCAAGTGATCCATTCCCTGTCGCCCATTCCCAGCTTCTGGCAAACAGAGGCTAGAGACACCATCCCTGCCCATCCTGCCTGTGGCACTGGCAGATGGGCTGTTAGCTCTTGCAAAAGCCCCCATGTCTTAATTGAACATGGACAAATGCAGAGCTGGAATCAGTCTGCCTCACCTGTGTTAGTATTGTTAAAACAGGTATTAGAATGATAAGAATGTGTTTTGTGTTTAGACGTTATTGAATGCTTGTGAGTTGCTGCCTGGGTTAATATCTGACTAGTTGCATCGTGAGCCTCTGTGGCTCTGTAAATCACCAGACAGGAGAGAGACTTTACCTGTGTGAAGTGCTGATTGTCAATGGAATGCATGACACCCTGCCAGGCAGGAAAGGTCCATCAACACCAGATAGACTATTATGGGATGTTAAAGAAGGCAAAAGACTGTTGTTGTGCTCTTGACTTTCCATTAGCTGAGTTTGCAGCTCAGAGCACATGGCAGGAAGGGGATTAAAAAACCCCATACGGAAGGAACAGATTATCTGAATGCTGCTTGGACTCTGAGGGGCAAAGTTTCTAGGCACAAGCTAGAGATCCCCAGCC